TTTAATCACCAACATTGAAATAAATGTATTTGGAGCTTCTAAATTGTGTTTAAAAGGTAAGTAAGTTCAATTAAAACTAGTGTTGCACCGATACCGATACCAGTATCGGACGGGGCGCCGATACTGCCCTAAAATGGTGGTATCGGTATCGGCAAGTACCAACAAATAGGGCACAGATACCATTTTGAGAGCCATAAGTTTATTCAGCTTTTGTCGCCCACTCCAGGTAGGCAATAAAAACGTTTTATTTGTATTATCCAGTAGAACTTTTTATTAAAAAGTTCTTCGTATTAGATTTTTTCCTGCTTCACAAAGGTAGGCAGCAGCTTGACAAAGCCATGATGGCAATTATTTTACATTATTATGGTATCGGTATCGGCCGATACTGTACAGCCAGGTATCGGGTATCGGTATCGGGGCCAAAAAATGGCATCGGCGCAACACTAATTAAAACCATCTGCCACTTTAGAAAATCCACCTACAGACCCATGGACGTAGGTTTGCATAGGGACCATAGGGACATGTCCCTACCAAAATTTTGGACCGACCTACTTGTCCCCACCAACAGTTACATGTGAATAACAGGTTTATAATTTACAATACAGCATTTTTGCAGCAGTAGAGGAGTTCTGGATGGAAAATATTGACGGACGAATACATTTTTTAACTAAAATGCTAAATTTTTATTTTTTTTACAATTTTGGTATAATTCCTTTTCTAAGTGGGTCGCTCTGTGAGCTAAAGACATGTTTTAGAGTCTTTATACTCCAGTTAACGATCAATCGATTACTAAATTTGTTGACATTATTTCAATAATTGATTAATCCGATACATTTTTTCAGCCCTAAATAAAATCCATGAAATGGGTTAAAAAGAGTAACTGCATCCTAGACGTACAGCTTGTAGAGTGAGGTTAATATATTAAATGCTCAGTGTCAGTTCCTCTTCTAGTTCCAGTGCACATGTAAATACAATGCATTTATTTGGCGTCCCTTGAATCTATTATTTCGCTTTGTTTTATGATACAAAGAGAACATTTAAAAGAGTGGGGTTTACCTCTATTTATCCCTGCGCAATTCTATATCTTCAAAATTTAAAAAAAGTATAAATCCAGATTTACCTAATGTCTTAGTCGGTGGTCATTTCAAATGCAAACCTTTTCAAAGTGGAAAAAAGTCCTAATTCCTCATTCATCAGAGCCATTTAAGCTTCAGCCATTGATAAACAGCATCTATCGTGCGTAGTGCTTATAAAATTTGTATAAATGTAGCAAGAAGTGCTGCTTTTCTCTTTAGACGAAATACACCCTGATTTTCCCGTCAAGCATAAAAAAAACGAGCATGCATATTTTTGCATAGGACCGACATCAGACCAAATGTGTCCCTACAAAACTTGAAATTAAACCTAAGCCCCTGTACAGACCTTCCTATTTAATCAATTTAGATTTTTTTTCTTTTAGATTATACTTGCCTCTGTTGATATAAGGCAAAGTGTGAACTCCCCTTAGAGGTTTTTTTTATACTGATCTGTATTTTTCTTTAGATTTTCCTCCTCTTTATTATATATATTGCAGCTTTAAACAGCGGCCATCTAAATGAAAATCTATAGTTTACTACCCAGCTGTGTTTTCACCCTCTAGGTTTTATACTGGAAGCAAAATGCATCATTGGATAGAACCTTTAACTGCTATCAATCTCAGCCGAAGCATTTATGTTTATGTGAAATAAATTTAGGCAGTAGTTTATACTCTGTGTTGTACCATTACAAGGTTTGTTAAGAGAGAGAGGTGAGTCAAATAACGGATGTAAAGCTGGTGTGAAATGTGAGCAATTTTGGCTTTAAAGTCCCGACAGGTCAGTAGATCACACTTAATGAGCTGCTGATTTCCAAGCACTTTTGTCTCTTTTATATTGCTGGTGAAAGTCCATAGCTTCCCAGGGTTAATTGATATCATACAAATATAAATACCCATGTAAACACCCTGTGCAATTACCCTGTATAAGGATCCTACTATACAAAAAAAAAAAAGCTATCATATGTGGACGCATATGTACACTTCCCGGCCACCGTACACATATGATATATATATACTGTATATATCCCATGCACCTTTTTCTTCCTTTAGCACATTCTTCTTCTTTGAGCTGATGTAAAGACTACATTTCTCCACTGTGAGAACAATACAGTCAATCAAAGCAGATGGGCTACATCACGCCCAGAGTTGTCAAAACCTGAATTGCAAGGATAGATTTTTGAGGATTAGATTCACAGAGTTTCTCTTTGAACATTTTTTTTCCAACTAGGAATCCAGCTCATGGTTTCTGACATACTGTTCAACCTAATTAGTTTTTTTTTTTTCACTTTGATTTGTTGCTGTTTTAGGAAAAAACGTGGAGTTCAGGTCCAAACGGATCACACAACAAAATGGGAGAATTTCTGAGGAAGGCATTGGTGTTTAAAAAAGAAACAAACGAAAAATTAAGTACATTACATATAACGGTATATATATATACATTTTTTTTTTTTTTTTTTTTTTTAAACACAATGTAACCTCCATGATCCCAACAGCAGCTCAGCTTTTGAACAGCTTTAGGCAGAAAGCTGTGCAAACATCTGGTGGTTGTGCCTTTGATGTCACTGTGCTGATGCTTGACTAATTGCAGCGGCTCTGAAAGTTCGTTAGAGAATTATAGGAGTCTTTGAAGATGTATACAGTTTTATTCCTGCAGCCTCTTTGAAAATGATTGAGGACAAAAATAGGGACACTTACTTTTTCAGATCCCCTCACTATCCTGTGCAGGGCCATATTGCAGCCAGATAACAGGGTGAAACTTTTGAATCAACCAAAGATTCCATGTTTTAATTAAAGTTTACTAATCAAACTACTTCAGTAGGAGAAGACAACTTAGAAAGAGTAAAAGTTCCTTCGTAGTTTTAGGCATAATCCCATTTTTTTCCCCCAAAAAAATTATTGATAGCGATTCTCTGCTCCTGTGACAACCAATTCAACTGTACAATCAACTCTGACATTTCTGTTGCACCATTAACTGACCATGATCTTATCTATCTACAACTGAAGCCCAAAAACTGGAGTCCAGGCTGAAATGAATTTTGGAAAATTAACTACAATCTTCTTAAAACATGACACCCACTGCCATCATTTCAAAGAATTAATGTTGGATATTAAGGACTCAGAAGACTTAATCAACCCAATCCAAATGTGGGAGTTTCTAAATTACAAGATCATACAGTTTTCTATTTCATTCAGTAAAGAAATTAATAAAAGAACTTTTTAACTTTAAATTTTATACATAAATTAAACATATTAAACATATACTACATTAAATACTACATTAAACCTAATCCCTCAGAAGTAGACAGAAGTAGACAAACTTACAATATCAACCTCCTATCTAAGCTAGATGAAATGTATATCAGAAAGGGCCCAAGGAGGATTTATTAGATCAAGAGCCATATGGAAAGAGGAGGATGAAAAAACACAGCCTACTTCTGTCATCTAGAAAATAGGAGACAACAACAAAATACTATTAAATCCTTGATAATTAATCAAGTGGGAACCAACAATGAGAAAACAATAGCAACAGAGATCTATATATTGTATAACAACTTATATACCTCCAAATTTTCTGAACTAAAATGTTTAGCCAGATTGAAAAATGTATTCCTAATATTGCAGATGACTATAAACATGATAACATAAGGTTAGAGGAACTTGATAATCTTGTTCTTGCTAATCTTGCTTATCATTTAACAAAGCTCCTGGTCCAGATGGACTCACGGCTAACTTTTATAAACATTTTTTAGTACCGGTAGATATAAGAATTCTATTGTTTCAAGTTTTCACAGAAAATTTCATTTCTTGTTTATTTATTTTTTTAATTTAAACTAATCTTTCATAGATACACAGTTGAAACTGCAGCACGGACATCACTGGTGGTATAAAGATGACATTTGGGTGTTTTATTCAAGTTAAATACTAACCAATTTATTGTGGCGTAGAGTTAATAAACAACAAGAACCTTTTCCTAGTCAAAAACCCTTTCAAGAACCTGTGAATGGTCCCCTTCAAGTTTACCTGGCAGTGACAAATTTCTCAGTCATGCACTCAATCTAGCAACATATTGATTAAAGCAAATGGTAGGATGCAATTATTTAATAGTTTCTTTCAGTATTTTCTGTAGGCAGCCATGTTGGATTTTGATGCTATGGTTTGAATAATACCTTTTATTTACTGTCAATTTGAAACATTTGATTTAGTTGCATATTAAATCATACAGTAAAACTTTTGAGGTACGTTTTTCTTTTCTTTTTTTTCCGCTTTGGTTTCCTATCATGGCTAAACGCATCAAACTGGATATTTGACAACTTCATCTCTTAACCATTTAATGTATTTTGTCTTTCTCTAAGTAAGCAATTTCTTGTATTTTGAGTTTAGCTGAATATCTGTAAAAATATGTTTATAAAACTTCAAAACACACCTCCCTACAGGGTTTGCACAATTATTTTTGGTCAATTCAGATAGTCCTGATAAAACCAAAGGATAAGGAGAAGCTGCCCCAAAGTGACTGAAAAGACGATATAATAATTGAATCTAACCTTGACATGTGAATAATTCTACGTTAGGAATTTAAATGGTTATGGTAAGAGAAACTTGTCTAGATCAGCAGAGCAGATTTTATCCGGTTGAACATCTAATTACAGTCAAAGGAAATCATCAAGCAGGTTAACCTTCAGCCTGTTCTTATTGACCGGCCGCTCCAAACCTCTTTGTCCAGTGTCAATCTGGATGACCCAAAGAGATGCTTGCCTTTGGTGAGTGGATGTGTACGTGCGCGCTGTGTTTTTCCTCTGAGAGCCCGCAGTACTATAAGTGTTGTATACAGCATCATTTACCTGTCACTTCCTAAAGAGGACATAGTTTATAAATATCATCCAGTGGAGATGTGGCTCAGAGACTACAAAAAGTCAACCCCCATTGTTCACTGGCATCATTGTTGGTGTGACATCCCAGCTGCTCAGCCATGGTAAGTCTGCATGTGTGAGATGTTTCTTACATTAGGGGCAGGTGTGTTGTCTTGGCTTCAGAGAGATGCCTCTTTCAGGGCGGACAGCTGAGGAAAAAGCTCTTTTAAGCTGTAGTTTGTCATTTTTTACACTAAATCCAGTGTTTTCTCTTATAAATAATCTTAACTTTATGTCAATTTTGAGGAAGGTACCTTTATAGCTAATTAAGGGCTTTATCTGCTTAATTTACAATTAACTAGTTTATACAGTACCTTCTCTATTTTCAATGGCAAAAAGGCCCCCAAGAAAGCCAAAAAGAGGGCAGCCGAGGGAGCCAACTCGAATGTGTTCTCCATGTTTGAGCAGGCCCAGATCCAGGAATTCAAAGAGGTGAGAGCTGCTCAGTAAACTCTATGTAAAATCCACTGATTTCTGCTTAGCTGCTGCAGAGTTAAGGGTTGTACACACCCTGAGGGATCTTGCTTCTTTCACTCCTTGTCTTTCTGTTTCTATTGTTCACCACCGCAGTATGCCCACCTGTCTATTTTCATGCCTCAGGCTTGGCAACAGCAAGGCTTGTAAGGTATGTTGGTATGAAGGTCGGCGGTGCCCAAACATTCAGACTGTGTCATCAGTGATTAGGCCACAGATGAACTGCTGTGCGTTCCCCGGATGCCGCACAATATCCGAGGGGTGGTTTACGTGTTATAAATACCTGAGTCTTTGTCTGTAAAGAAAGAAAAGAGGAGTGAAAAAAGTATTTTACATTCAAGTGTTATTGTTGTAGAGATGAGACCACCATGGTTTAAAACAAGCATTTAATTTATTTCCTGGTAACGCTATCTCTCTCTCTGTGCTCCTAATTTAGGCCTTCACCATCATGGACCAGAACAGAGATGGCTTCATTGATAAGAATGATCTGAGGGACACTTTCGCCGCTCTTGGTATGTTGACATTTATACACAAGGATCATGGTGACATTAATCTTTAAGGAGTTAGGATTAGTTTTTTGTGTTTTGTTCTCAAAGGACGCCTGAACGTAAAACAGGAAGAGATCGACGACATGCTCAAAGAGGCTCCTGGCCCCATCAACTTCACAGTCTTCCTCACAATGTTTGGAGAGAAGCTAAAAGGTAGGAACATAAACCATCTTGAAAAGAGGGATTAATGGTGAGGCTACATGACCTTTCCCCAAGTAGCATTTATTTAGACTTATCTAGTTTCATATCTTCCAACATTTTATGTCTCTTATTTGGGAAACTGATGTGAAGGATTCAATCATTCTTACGGTACTCTTCTCCACGAGCAGCAGATAGAGCTGTAGAGCTGCAGGCCTTTTTTCTTTTTTTTTTTGCCCAAAGCACTTGCAGGTGATCCAGTAATTGCACCACAGTCCCTCCCTGCTACTGTTACCAGAGGGGGTGTTAAGAAACACCAGGACAGCAGAATAATACCACCTGTTCAAACGTATGGGCTAAAACTGCAGGTTTATAAGCAATTCTTGTAAATCACATAAACACACAATTATTACACAGATCCACTGCTTCTGTTCAAGTCCTTCATAGTTGTTGGAGAAAGGCTCCTTAGCAGCCGTGCATCCTTTATATAAGAATTGTAAGATAGAAAGAAAACAAAGATTTCCTGTTTTTACCGACCATCCCAAACAACACTAGTCCTCCGTTCTGCCTTGCCAGCCAGACGGAATTATGTTTGGTATTTCGCTGATGACTCTGGCCAGATCCGGCTGGACCAATCACAGCGCGGGAGGCGGGACTGTACGATGCATGACTCTCAGCGTTAGAGTTACCCAAAATTCAGAATCAATTTGCTGCTGGCATCACATCAAGCTGACGACCACAATGGAGCAGTGTTGCAATGAAAATCAAGAACATACTAGAAGGCACACCTTACATCAGGCATATCCAAGGTCAGTCCTCAAGGGCCGCTGTCCTGCAGGTTTTAGAGGTTTCTCAGCTTCAGCACAGCTGATTCTGATGATTGCAGTTCAGCAAAAGCCTATTAATCAGCTATCAATGGCAATCAGCTGTGCTGGAGCAGGGAAACCTCTAAAACCTGCAGGACAGCGGCCCTCTAGGACAGACTTTGGAGATGTATGCCTTACATTCTCTGATCTTTTAGGAAAAAAGACTACAAAATTACAAAAACAGAGTGTGCCGCTTTGGGTTTATCCATCACATCTGTAGTTTTCAAGATTGGTTCTCACCTAAAGATGTTGACGCTGTAAGTCCCGCCTTTGAAATGGAGCACTGCCAGCTACCAGACTGATGCGCCACAGTTACGTTGCATCAATCTGGCTGGCCAGGCTACTGTTCTTCAGTGTAAACTACTAACTGGGGATGGATTGAAATGAAATGGTTGGTCAGTTGATATAGGTATATTGTATTTGGTATGGCTATTATGCCTGATAACTGATATTCATCAATACCGTCTTATCCATCCATCCATTTTCTCCCGCTTAGTCCTTGTCAGGGTCGCGGTGGGGCTGGTACCTATCTCTAGTGCTGGTGAGAAGCGGGGTACACCCTGGACACATCACAAATCTGTCGCAGAGCAACACAGAGACTCAGAATCGAACCCAGAACCTTCTTGCCGCAAGGCAACAGCTCTACCCACCGGACCACCATGCAAGCCCTTACCTTATATATATCCTATGCAATTCCTTATACTTTGGACATCATCTAAAAAAAATAAACCGACCACACTGCTGATATCACTCCTCTGCATCCTGTGCTGCATCACCATCACTGTAACATGGCTGACCCCTTGTATTCACATCCACAAATATCACCCGATTTTACCAATAGGACCAACACCAGTGTTTTATAGTGTTAGTGCCCGTCTACACCATGTGTTACTACTGATTGCATTTTAATGAAACCTCAGTACTTCTTTAACTGTTAAAGTAACAGCTAAGTGGTGTTGGAAAAGTGGTGACGGCTGCTTTAACGACTGCAGGTGCAGATCCAGAGGAGACCATCCTGAATGCGTTTAAAGTCTTCGACACTGAGGGAAAAGGCGTGCTGAAGAAAGACTAGTATGTATCGTGGGTTTGCAGTATGCTAATTCTTTGAAAGCAGTGCTGCATAATCTTTTCTAGCTATGAAGACTGTTTTTCTTCTCTCCACAGTGTGACACAGATGCTAACAACTCAGGCCGACCGATTCACCTCTGAGGAGGTATTTTTTGGTGTTTTACACTAATTATCCCCATTAGCTACTGCTGATTACTTAAAGTAAGAGTGTGACTCGGAAAAGGATGGACGTCATTGTGACGGCCATCGTCAGGCCCATTTTCCCTCTGAATAATGAAAAGAGCATCAACTGAGAGTGAATCATCCCGGCTTTTGATGCACACAGACTAATGTGGTGTTCTTGTGTGATTTTGATGGTTAGATGGAGCAGATGTTTACCGCTTTCCCCCCCGACGTGGCAGGAAACCTGGACTACAAGAACCTGGTGCATATTATTACTCATGGAGAGGAGAAGGACCAAGAGTGAACCTTTTTGATGATATATTTTGTAAACGATAACTATCATGTAAAAGGGAGAAATTCTGCCTTTTTGCTTGTTTTGCTCTCATTGATTCTGTACGACTACAGAGTGAAATCAAAATGTTTCTTCCCTCATTACTAAAATAGATGGTAAGGAATTTAATTACGATAAGATGTTTTTTTTTCTTGTATTCAAAATACATTTTTGCTGCCACTGATCTGAGACTAATGAATTTGCACACCAACTACTGCTGTCCTTACATGTATTCTCTTGAAAATCTATTTATTGCTCTTTACTTTTCCACAGTTCCCCAGGTTCCCACCACAAACATAGTTGGTCTTTTTGTAAATTGGTTGGGAAGAAGCCTAAAGGCCTGTGGTAACTCTCAAGTGGCTATAGAGAAAACAAACTTGGATAATAGGTCTATCAACAGGAAAACCTATATGTTTTTCACACCTTGCATAAATCTGTTTTGTTTATTGTTTTTTTTAGTGAAGTAGCAAGGGTAATTAAGACCTGCTCTTTGCCTAGGTGCTTAGGTGAGGTGAGACAAAATAAGCGCTTTAGCCTATGTGTAAAATTATGCATGGTAAAAAACTAACACTGCACATAAACCTGGAGATACCAGCCTTATTATGACACATGGTGGTGGCAGAATCATGCAGTAGGGGTGCTTTTCTTCAGATGGGAGGAGGCCTGTAGAGTTAATAGATGTAAAATTGGTGCTAATCAAAGGAAAAGACTTTGACTTTTATTGCCATAACAATATAACAAAACCAAATTTCGTTTTGTACAGCTCTCATGACATTTCCATTTTTTTAAGTGCAGGAGTGATCAAATGGTTTGGGAGAAAAAACATGGTGCAAAAAAAAAAAAAAAATGCATTGGTATGGAAGTTCAGAGCATTTAATATATGGTGCAAATGTGCAGTATTTTGGTTTGGTGTTATAAGTTTGATGTAGAGTTTGTGAGATGATTTAGAGTTTTTTTTCCAACAGTTCAGCCATCTGATGACAGTGGGGAATAAGCGTTTTCAGAATCTAATGGACCTGCATTGAATGCTGCGAAGTCTCTTCCCAGAGGGCAGCAGGAAGAACAGTCCATGGTGGGGGTGTGAGGGGTATTTTATGATGTTATGAGCTCGGGACACACAACGCTGGGATGAAATGTCTTTAATGGAGGGAAGAGAAGCCCCGATTATCCTCTCTGCTGTTCTCACCACTCTTCTTCCAGTCTGAGGCGCTGCAGCCTCCAGACTACACAGTGAGACAGCTGATCAGAAAGCTCTCTATGGTGCTTCTGTAGAAGGTTGTGAGGATGGGTGGGGGCAGGTTGGCGCTACTCATCCTCTGCAGGACGTACATAAAAGAGAGAAACTTGTTAGTGGCAACCAAAGACAAGGTGTCTGTATGGAGGCTCACCTTATTAAACATGCAGCCAGGTCTGAAATAGACTCCAAAGCTAATTGATGCTCACAGACCCTCTTCTTCAACTGTGGTTTAACATGAGCAATTTAGTAAAGAAGATGTTGAGATGTCTGAAAACATCTGCCGCTAAAACTGCAACAAAAGGATGTTTTACAAAACACTGTTTCAGCTGAGCTTAAAAAAAAATCAGGTAGTTTGCTTCTGCTTTGTCTGTCTTTCATACAAAAACTCCTCCTCCAAAAGCCATTCGTCTTTAGGGGAGAAGTGGTAAGCTTACATTTCTATAGTTCTTTATAAATACAATAGTGATGTCAAATAAACATCACTGAACCCAGCTTCCTGCCTGCACATCAGAAACAAATATCTTCACCAGGGGGCCCTGTGGCCGGCACGTCAGAGGATCACATGTGAATTTTAGAACAGCACTTTAATCGCATAGCTGAATGTCGACAACAATTATAATCAGAGATTTACAGATTAGGATTTTACTCAAAACAGACTTCCAAAAACATGTGGCTGCTGAAACACCGAGGCATTACTCCCACAAAGACCTGTATTTACTTTAGACTCAGCTGCTGTGGGGATTGGTAATACAACACTGGGGATTCTACGCAGCTGGCTCACAAATGGATGGCACCACCTTCATCTATCTGACATGTCAGACTTACTGTAGTGTTGGAGTTTTAAAATATTTTGCTGTTGCATGAAAAATTGGTAGGAAAGAAACCTTAAGCGCAAAGCCCCCTTTGATGGATGGAATCATGTGTTTAATCTTTCATTGATCATTATTGACAAAAGGAAGGAGACAAATTAACAAATTTATTCAGGTTAATGTATGCAGAATTTCTGGATGTTCTGATGGTTGTTGTTAAACCAACAGGAACTTAAGGAATTGACATTTAGAACTGCATTGTCTTCATACATGAAAGATTACCAATATCTCCAAACTCTCTAAATATATCTATAAGAAAAAAAAAAAAACAGCAGGGTTCTGTTACTTAATGATTGGACTTCATAAGTAACAGAACCCTGCTCTCTATTACAGACACATGGAACAGCACTGGAAGTGAAGTTCAGTCACAACAGAAATCTGTCTCTATTTGGTTTTAAGAAGGTCAGAAAATTAATCAGCTTTACATCTGCTTTACATTGAAATCTAATTACGATATGTTTACATGGTGAACAACAGGAGGAAACCATTTTCATAGGGGTGGCCAGGCAGGGACCAATGTGCGCTGAGGGGTGGCCAAACAAGTTCAGGCTCCCTCTACACTAATCACACTGTAACACCAGGAAAAAATCTAACTAGGACATCTGTATTTTCAATCAAAATTGCTAATGATAGATTGTAAATTCAATTCAGTTTATTTATATTGTGTCAATTCACAGCACATGTCATCTCAAGACACTTTACAAACAATTTAACCAGATCATACAGTCAGATTGGTTCAAAGTTTTCTATATAAGGAAAAACATGTGATTGCATCAAATAATTGGTTTGAAGGCAATCCCTCACACTAAGCATGCTTGTAGCAACAGTGGAGAGAAAAAACTCCCTTTTAACAGAAAGAACCCTCCAGCAGAACCAGGCTCAGTGTGAGCAGGCAGACGAGCTCCAACCAGCTCCCATGTCAGAGGATGAAGAGAGCACATCCAGTCAGTCACAGTCAGAGAAACAGGACTACACTGAAATATGGGTCAATCTCAACCATCTATAAACAATGGTGTTCATGGCAGCAGCACAGCTGATATTTCTCTCCAGGGCGGTGTCACAGTCAAACAGAAACAGACCAGTTAGAGATTGAACTAACAGATTCTGCAGAGTGGGAGAATAGAGATAGAATGAAGCAAAATGATGAAAAAGGGTCCCTATGTCCTCCAGAAGTCTAGGCCTATTGCAACATAACTATACGTAGAGATAGGTCAGGATATCCTGAGCCGCTCTAACTATTACCTTTATCAAAAAGTAAAGTTTCAAGCCTACCCTTCAAATTGTATGAAGCCTTATTATACATATTAATACAACCATACAGTCTCAATGAATAATTTATGGTTCAACATAATCAACATGTTAAATACATTGAGCAGTTCTTTATCTTTAATTACATAGGAGACTCCTACAATTGCAGAGACACATACCTCCCCCCTATAAAACACAAAAAAATAGTTCTGAAAAGAGCATAAAATCTTTGCTGTGAATCATAAATATCTATAGCTTTGTTGTCATTTTATGGTTAATGCACTAACAATTAAAAAGTCACACAATATATTCCACTTCCCTGCTGCCACCCTCTGATGGACTGGGGAACTGCTTTTCCAGTGGTAATAAATTAGATCTGCATGGAAACAGCAAATCATCTGCCAGGGATGGTCAGTGACCGGCATGAGTCACCCCTGGCTATCCCTTAGTTAGCTCCGCCCCTAACAGGGAAGCATAAATAAGAGGACTGCTTTTGGCAAGTCTTAACTGATTGATCATCAATCCAACACATTGAGTTTCCTCTATGAACCTTAGATGACTCAAATTAAAAGACAACACAGGAAAGTCCCTTGATGATTTTTTAATTAACTGACGAAAGAAAGGACTGAGGAAGAAAAACTCTGAAGAAACCATTTCTAAAGGTAAGTATGCAACAGATAGGTCAAAGATAAAAAAAAAAAAATTAAGTAGTTTAAAGCAGGTATAGGTGATGAGACAATAACGTCAACATCTGCAAAGCCCTAAAAAAACAGCCACCAACCTACACGAACCTGTCAGAGGCTGCAAAACTCTTGATGCAAAGGTTCCAGCAGGACAGCAACCCAAATCCAAAGCCTAAGCTACCTTGGAAGCTTAGACAGCCACATGTGTTAAAAACATCCAGTCCAGCACTGATGGATATCCATATTTTTGGGCTCCAATGAAGCCAAAGTCCCCTGGTAGGAGATTAGCAAACCAAACACAAAAAGCCTGCAACTGTGATTCGAAGAAACTTTCTCACAGTGTGCTGTGGTAGAAAAATTAGAAACAATAAAAATTATATTGGAAAAGGTCTTAATAATATCTCGTTAAATTGTATCAAATACGTTGCAGTGACCATATCAAACCTTTGAACAGCTGACTATAACCTCCTATGGGAATCACATGTACAACCAAACAGCAATTCCTTCTCTGGAAACCCATTATATAAAGTGCAACTATGGGTTTCTATTGACCTTTGATGCAGTGCTTAAGAGCCTTTATAGTTCATCCATGAGGAATAATGGATGGGTGTTCTGTCAGAAGCCTCTGGTTTTGCAGAGTCAGTTTATTTAATGATGTCCTGATGGAGCTTCCCCTGGAAAGTTATTCGATTCTTTTGCTTAAAGCTGGGAACAAAGAATCCCTCCTCTTGTTAGATCGCCCTGATAAGTCTCCAAAACAGTAACTACTAAAAATAAATGTTTAAAATTTTAGATTTTCAAAGTAAATGTTTTCATTTTTTTTTTTGCTTTCTTCCCTTTTGCAAAGACAGACTGTTTTATTTATTTGTATTCTCTTCAGTAAATAAGATGCTTCAAGTACATAGCAGGGGGAAAAAAAATCATTTTTTATAATTACTACCCTCTCAGTGTTTGTGGTTTTAGTGCATTTACTCTGAGAGCACAAATGTCCTGCTACAATGGACACTACACTCATGCACGTGATCAACAGGACCTTAAAACCTAAGATAGTTTCATTCTGCGAGTCTGCATACACAAGTTTATCCAATATTTTTCCACAGATGTTTTTTTTCTCTTCAGCTAACTGTCTGTTCACACTTTTGACCCC